GGTCTTGGAAAAATATATACTCAAGTGGAGATGGTAAGTTGTGTTCTTGTTTCAACAAGTTTTCTCTCGGTTGTGAGAGGGTTAATCTCTTGGCTTAGAGATTGGGGTCCAAATTGGCAAGGAGTTTGTCAATTGGTGTTGTAATTTACAGGGACTTGCAAATTGGTCAGGTTTGCGTTTGATTTTGTAAGTTTATTCAAAATCATAGTGGAAACTCTCAAGCGGGATTTGCTTGGGGACTGTATGTACACCGGTTTGGTGGAACCAGTATAAAATCCTTGTGTTTATGTTTGCAAATTTCTGAGATTGTCATTTTTCTTTGCAATTTATTATCTACTTTGCAATAATTTTAAAAGAATACTATTCACCCCCCCTCTAGTGTTCTAGTGTATCTATTTCAGATCCTACATAAACAAGCTAGCAAAGGATTTCTTCGTTCCTTCACTTTTCCTTGTTAAATCTATCTCATCTTTCAATTCATCATTCTTTTTCTCCAGACTGATTTTTCCATAACTTTTTGAAGATTGAGCTACAGGAGTTGCAAGAATCTCAACATTGCTATCAATTTCATCACAATCCTCATCATTCTTAACATTTAAATCATCTTCTATATCTTCAGCCCAGGAGATTGAGTTAGGACTCTTACTAAGTTGTCGAGCAAAGATTGAATCAGATTTGAGATGAACTTGAGCAGGATCAGAGAGAGAGGTAGTTCTAGCCAGTATTTCCTCCATGAGCACTCTCTTCTTTGCCCCAACCAGACCTGTGCTCCCCATTAGCTCTATCAATGAATCCTCTCGAGCTTCTACTGTTCCATTTCTTTCCTCACCATTTTCGATTCCCTTTGTTTCCTCAGATCTACGAGTAGACGAAGAGGAGGGGAAAACAAAAATAGAATCTCTCAAAGTGGCACTAGAAGTCCCCTTGCTCCCATTCTTCTTCTTCTTCCTCATGGTAGATCTAGACGGAGGTGCACAATAGCGGGAAAATTTTTGCCCGCTAAAATGCACCAAAAGACCGCCACTTTCCTCCCCATTGTGGAATTCAATCCTTTCTACCACTAAAAAGTAGTGAAGTTGCTTCTATTTTCCATCACAACTACATATATATTGATTTGTTAGTGACTCATCTAAATTCTAAAACTCACCATGTCTATTGTAACTTGCGCTCATTTTTAATTTATACTTAAAGACAAATCACAAACATACACTGAATAAAATTATAGTTATAATAAATGCAGTGCTCTCTTTACTACTATGATATTAAAGAGATTCAAATCCGTGTAGCAAGTAGAGCATTCTCTTTAAGTCATTCAGAGCAACCATACCCACAAAACATACTAGCATTGTCACACGTGCATATGTATGTGCAAGAGACAAATTATTTTTAATAGATTTATATTATGTCAAAAATACATAGTAGATCCGATTATATTGTGAGATCTTAAAACTTGAAGAAACTATCAATTTATTCTATATGGAAAGATTATGTCTTGCTCATCTATTGCAATGTTTGTTTAAGTTTTGTTTCTTTTTTTTGGTCAATAAAAAAGAGTTATATTCATTTCCCAAGTATGTACATATGAAGAACATCAAAACACCAGACATTTCCTGGTGATCACCCTGTAAATTTCACAATCTCTCAATATTACTAGCTACATATTCACAAGAGTATCTTTCATATGTATAGGTAAGTTGACATTCAATATCTTGGAGAATATCAGAAACATTATACCCCTGAAGATCACCTCTGGTTCCCGAATCATCCTTTGAAATATTCTCATATTTTTCTCTTGCCAAATCATGTAAACTGTCACTGAGAGGGCCATTCTTTTCAATTATTGATTACAACCACCACCTTTGAGATTGAAGGAGTACCAATTTATAAGGTGATTCCAATTGCATGATCTCCAAGAGAAACCCATCCAATTCATAACTTTATTCCAAATATCAGCTGAAAATTGACACTCAAAGAATAAGTGCTTACAAGTTTCCAGTTGCTGGCTTTGACACAGAACACACATGTTCAATTCCAACATCCTCATCCGACAAAGTCTGTCTTGGGTTAACAATCTGGAGTGAGCAGCTAGCCAAAGAATAACTGAGTGTTTAGGATAGTGTAAACCCCTCCAAACTATGTCAAACCAAGGAACAAGATTAATTGATTGAGAGAGAGCATTATGTACAGATGAAAGTTGAAGTTTTCCACTCATGCAGCATGCACCAACAGTGTTCTGCAAATTTGCAACATTCCCGAACCTGACCAACATCAAATCCCTTACCCTGAGGAGCTGTTTCCACATCCATGAGTCACTTACTTTAGGTTGAACTTGTCATATATCTGAAGCTTGTAAATAATTCTCGTGAAGTCATTTGATCCAAAGAAGATCTTTCTTGAGATGAATTAGCCATAGTATCTTAACAGAAGCCACATAATTCCAATCTTTAGCTGAAAAAATTCTCAGTCCTCCTTTCTTCTTGCTCTGGCAAACAATGCTCCATGAAACAAGATGGATTTTTTTACCCCATAAGAAATCTGAGCATATTCTGTCAATTTTTTCTAATACTTTGATTGGAAGAATGTAGTTGCTTGTCCAAAATGTTTGAATGCCTAGAATGACTGATTTTATCAACTGAATTCTTCCAACGTATGATAAACTCCTCCTTTGTTGCCAGAATTGAAACTGTCCAGAAATTTTGCTGATTAGAGGAGAGCAATCCAGGTAAATAAGCCTTTTTGCAATCAGTGGCATACCCAGATAGCGAATTGGTAACTCCCCCATAGAAAAATTAAGATAGTTGCATATCTGTTCTCTTAAACTATCATTAACTCTACTCAAAAATATTAAGCATTTGTTGGGGTTTGCTTCCAGACCAGATACTTGACTAAAATTTTGTAGACATCTATTCCATCTTAAAATTGAATCCATATCAGCTTTGCTAAACAATAGTAGGTCATCGGTAAAAATTAGGTGGGATATGTTCAACCTAGAGCATTTGAGATGAAATTTATATAATCTGTCCTCCTTCAAAAAGTTTAACTTTCTTGATAGATACTCCATGCCAATCACAAATAGGTAGGGGGTAGGGGATCCCCTTGTCTTAATCGTCTAGCACCATGAAAATAACCATGTAAAGCTCCATTGAGAGATAGAGAAAATTTAGGAGTTGTAATGCACTCCATAATCCAACCTATCATATTATGTGGAAAGCCCAAACCAGTTAACATAACCCTGATGAAGTCCCAGCTTATAGTATCAAAAGCTTTCCTCAAATCTATATTTAGAATAGCTCTTGGAGAATTTTTTTTTTCCTTTCATAATGCTTAGCCAATTCATGAGCCATCAAAATGTTGCTAGAAATGAGTCTCCTTTTAACAAAAGTACTTTGTGCATCATTGATCAAGTGACCCATAACCCTCTGAATTTTGCTTGCTATAATTTTTGTGATGATTTTATAGACTACATTACAGCATGAAATGGGTCTAAAATCTGATGGAGTACTTGAATTAAGAATTTTAGGTACCAGAGTGATTGAGTGGAATTAAAGGTTCCCAAGAGCTTACCAGAGCAAAAGAACTCTTCAAAGTCTAGGAAAACATCTTCATTGATAATGTGCCAAGCCTTCTTAAAGAAAATAATGCTGAAGCCATCAGGTCCAGGAGCTTTTCCCTCAGCCATAGAGAAAAGAGCTTGTTTGATCTCTTCCCTAGTAACATGACAACTCAATTCATTAGACTGGTTAGGAGTGAGAATGGACCATTAGAAATCATAGCTGGGTCTGGAGGAGTAGTAGATCTAGCAGTACCAAGGAGGCTTTTATAGTAATCAGTAAATACATGTATAATCCCTAGCATGTCAGATATCCTGGATCCATCCTCAATATAGATAGACATTATCCTATTTTTGTGTATCTTAGCCTTCATAATAGAGTGGAAAAATTGAGCGCCTTTATCACCATGTAATCCCCAACTTATATTGGCCTTTTGTCTGTAGAAGGATATTTCACAATCTAATAGCTTTGTGTATTTTTTCACACATTCTTTCTCCTTAGAAATTAGTTCAGAATCAAAGAGATTGTTATTCAGCTGATTTTGAATGTTACTCAATTCTGCCTTAGCTCTTGAAACTTGCTCGGTTATAATCATAAAATGCTTTTTATTCAATTTCTTAAGAGATGGTTTAAGCTTTTTGAGTTTAGAATAAAACATGTACATATTATATCCATTTATTTTTTGATCCCATATTGATTTAACCACTGAAAAGAAATCAGGGTGATCAACCCACATACTAAAGAACTTGAAAGATTTCTTTCCCTCAAAATTTTCGTCTCCCATTGTTAATAAAGCTGGAGAATGATCAGAGCATAAAGGCATAAGAAACTCCACTTGACTGGAATTATAGGGTTGAATCCGGTCTTCATTGACAAGTACCCTATCAAGTCTGCACCAAATTCTTGCATCTGCCTCTTGCTTGTTATTCCAGGTGAAAAAACAACCTGTAGACTTCATGTGCACTAATTGACTTTAAATTTTGAAAGTCCTCAGTTTCAGCATCTGTAACTGGTGCACCACCAATTTTATCCTCACTGTCAACTATAGCATTAAAATCACCTCCAATCAGCCAAGGTCCATTTACATTACCTTTAAATGCCAGGAGGTCTTCCCATAGCAACTTCCTATCTTCCTAATGATTAAGAGCATACACAATTGTGATTAAACATGATAATCTGCTATCCTTTGATTGCATTATACAGGTCATGTACTGCTTTGATGAATTAAGGCACTGAATAGAGAGAATATCACTATCCCATAGAATCCATATTCTACCATTGTTAGCATCATGCACATTTGAAATCCGTTCCCAATTTTTTGTAATTTTCTTAGCAGTAGTTTGCATTTTTCTTTCAGCAACCTTTGTTTCCAAGAGGGCTAGAAAAGAGAGCTTGTATTCCTGTAGTAATTGCTTAACTACCATGTGTTTAGAGGATTTGTTAAATCCTCTAATATTCCAGATTGACAGGTGCATTACTGAAAAAACTCCCCCTATCAATACTAGAGGGATCCAATTCAACTGTTGGATGATCCAAAATAGAAAAATGTGAGGCTTGAATTGAGGGACGAGGATCATTCACAAAAACCCTTCTAGCTACAATAGCTCTAGTAGCACTTGTAAAACCAGTGGTGTTAACACTTGGTTGTGACTTGGAAGCCCCTAAAATGTGCATGTGCACGTTCTGTGCATGCTTTCCAGAAACATGCAAATTATCAGATATTGTGGCATTTTGTGCCCCCAGACATGACATTCTAGGACTAACACCCAAAGCATTATCTCTTCTCTCATGAATTTGTTTCTCAACAACTGGTGTATCTCCAATATCATTTCCAACCATTTCAGCCTCATTTTTTTCAGATCCCACAGATTCAGTAGGCCCCTCTTTATTTACAAGATCTTGTTGTTGCACATTTGACTGATTCATTGGAGCATCTTTCACTGGCTGTTTATTAACTGGTATCCATTTCTTATTCACATTTTTCTTCCTCCTGTATTTTTCAGTTTCATGCTCTAAAATATTGCACAGAGAACACCATCTTGGCTTGAGCTTATACAAAACAGATTGCTTGTAGCTTTCCCCATCAGGACCTTGAACAATTATTTCATCAGGTAAGGGATCTTTTAAAGGAAGTTTAACTTCCAATAAAACTCTAGCATAGCTTAATCTCTCTCTTGTAGCTGTAAGTTTATCAGTTGTTATTGGATAACCAATGAAACTTGCAATTTTACTAATACCAACTGAACTCCATAGATTTAATCTCAAATTTGGAAATTGGACCCACATAGGATAGTTATAATCTTGAATTTTATCCATGTCCATGTCAATAGTCCATGGTTTTAAAACCAATGGCCTAGAACCAAAAAACCAAGGCCCAGCCTCAAGAACTTCTCTCATTTGTTTTTCAGTTTAAAAATCAAATAGGAAAACACCCTGTTTGACTAAAGAGACTTTCGGAACTGAAATTGAACCCCAAAGCTTGGTAACATATGATTCCATCGACTTGAATTTAACATGCAGGCCAATAACATGCCCTATCAAAGCATTTTTTTTCTAGAAAATCTCTCCATTTTTCCATTCTTCCTCTGAGAATGTAATTGTATCTGCTTGAGTAGAATGAATAAAATTTAAAGGTAATCCATTCATAGATCTTTTGTTATCAGCAAAGAGGCTCACAAAAGTTTTCTTTGGTTCTTTCTCTTCATTAGTTTTATCCTGAGATTTTACAACTATGTTTTCTTCCATTTCTAAATCAAAAACCTCAGAATCTTTAGAATCAACAATACTGATATTATCTATTTTATTTACCATCATATCATATCTATCCCCAACAGTTTTAATCAATTCATTCAATGAAACAGTAACTGCTTCCGGTATCAAAGAAGTATTTAAATCTGAATCAATAACTTTAGAAAAAGGATGACCAGAAGAATTCACCTCCCTTACTTTAGTAGCAAGATTTTGAGAAAAGGAAGGATCGAAAGAATTCACCTCGCACTCAACCTTATCAGCCCAAGTAATCCTCGTGGAGCGCTGCTAGCTTCATCACCATTACCAAGATGTCGAGACTGAACTCCAGTCCTAATCGAAGAAAGAGATGATTCAATCAGAAACTCACTGGATCTAAGAATTTCCACCATAGATTTCTTCATCTTTTCCCCTTTTGGACATGTCGATCTCATAATGCTGAAACTTTCAACATCATCTTCCAAATTTTCATCAAAATGATCCTCAGGGCCTAACAAACTTGAGCTAGAAGATCGCAATCCAATGCTGAGAATTTTCCTCCCACTCTTCTTCTTTTTTGCCATTGAAATATAAGTTTTGTTTCTTTTGTTGTGGAATAAATTAATTACATGTGCCTAATGCACAAAACTTATAACTTAAAAAAACTTATATTTTGTTACTTTGTTATTCTTTGACATTTTTTGCTACACTTGTTATTATTCTTAATGACATAAGCTTATAATTTTCATTTGTATTCCTTAAAAACCTAAAATATAATGGAAAAATAATTATGTGGGTTCAATCCTATGTTCACGATATTGTTTGCTATGGAATGCGCTGGAAAATAAAAAAGTAAAGAGAAATAGAAAAGAAGAGAAACATGTTTGTATGATAAAGAATATTCTAGAAAATAAAAAAATAGAGAAAGAACAAGAAAGAGAATGAGAAAAACAACTCTTTTTAAATTAGTTTTCTGCCCACCAAAATATAGTAGAAATGAGAACATGTCCTCCAATCATACATTTTTTGACCACTCCTACGAAGTCCTTTATATAGTCGTATAGATATGTCATCCTAACGAGTATATGTGCTACCCCATTATATGTTCTTGGTGTTACATGACAGCAAAAGAAACTAAATTTTGATAGCAAATCTTTTTTTTTTGTAAATGAACTAACTTTTATTCATTTCCAACATGTACAGTTTTGTAGAATATCTAGATACCAGAATCTGGTAATCCAAAAAGAGAAAATTATATTTTCTTAAGGAGATCTCTTATATGAACATATGAGTTCTCATTCAAAACTTTTGTGTAGACTAAAAACTTGATAACATGAACAATTTGCTTAGCCTCCCTCTTCTTGCCTTGAAAGATACGAAAATTTCTTTCCTGCCAGACTGTGTACATTGTCATCGATAACAACATTCTCTTATGTTTCTTCATGGGACCCTTTCCTCTTAGGTTGCAAGAATACCAGTTAAGGAGCTGATTCCAATTACAAGGTTTCCATTTAAATCTCAACCATTCCATTATCTTATTCCATACTTCAGCCGAAAACTGACACTCAAAGAAAATATGATTTATTGTTTTCCTTTGATTCCATTGACACAACACACAATTGCTCTGATTTGTGCTTAACATCCCCATTCGGAAAAGTCTATCCTTAGTTAGTAGCCTTGAATCACATGTCAGCCATAGAGTGAAAGAGTGCTTAGGATATAGGAGACCATCCCAAACTGTATCATGCCAATTCACCAATGGAGCTGGTTGAATCAAGTAACTGTACATGGCAGAAAGAATAACTTTGTCATTAGAACAACATTCATTAATTGTATTCTTCACCCTTTCAACACTTCCAAACTTATTAACCAATATATCCCTCACTTTAAGAAGTCTTTTCCACATCTATGAATCATTCAGTCTTGGTCGAGCAGTCCGATCTCTAGCATTATGGATATGATCAACAGCTACGGTACCAACGTTCAATACTAGATTAATTTTTATAGCTTACCAATTATTATAACTCGACAACTAATTTCATTTTTTAAATTAGTTTGGTTGTTCATAGCTACTAAATCTTAATACAGCACTAGTATATAAAAGAGTGGTACTAGTAGTATCGGAATATAGATTATGAGCTAATAACTTGGTTAGTGAAATGAGACACTATAATGGTGAGACTAATTCAGATTAATGACTAGATTAGTAAGTGCGACGTACAGATGTTTTCACGCAATCATATTGTTGGGGGAAATTTTCTCTGAATAATTTTTAGAACTGGATATTTTTTACTTTAATTTGTTGAGCGAAAACGATATTTGGGCCTCACTTAATTAATGCGATTTTTTAGGATTCCTACTTAGATAATTGATTGGCTACTAATTGTTATTGTTAAGTTATTCAGCTCCGAAATGGAAAATGACAACAAGATCCATCCTTTTCTCCAAACGTCGTGTCTAGAAATACATATTGTAATAGTTAGAAAAATACATATTGTAATAGATAGCTATTTTATAGGGTTGAGGGAAAAGTTTGCCAATTGGTCTTAATTTTTTTCATTTGTGTGGAGAACAGAACTGGATTAATTAAAAGACAAAAATTTTAACTAAATGCATGGGTAAAAATATTTCTGTAATGGGCCATTAGGTCTTACGAGGATCTCGAACGTAAGAGGTGTCACGTGTACTTAGACGGACAAATCATATATGACTCACAACTTCACAAGTCACAAAGTACTCTCACAAACTCCAAAAAATCAACAAAAAGTCCTCAAAAGAACTATCAGAGATTTTGAAGAAGACTTTCATCAAAAGTCATATATAGGTGTTCAACCTAGCGATGATCAACCAATTGACAAACTTGTTTATATATCCAACATTACCAATTGACCATACTATTAATGCATTTTCAATGGGTTCTTCTGTGTATGAATTATTAACATCAGTCAACTGTTTCTTCATCCAACCGACTCACTTTTGATTTGCACAAAAATGTTTTCAAATGAAACATCAAACTCAGTAATAGAGCAACGGAACTCATATCTATCTGCTTTATAGAGGTTTTATCCTTTGTGTATATCTTGGTTGTTGGCCCAAGGTTTGCACTTGGCTTTCTCGAGTTCAATTAGGTCACCATGTATATCATATAAGATCGGTCAGTTAGCTCTTAAATAGGGTTGGTATAATTTTTTAAATATATAGGAGAATTAATCATGGGTGTGAGGTGTCACCTCATTCTGCTAAATGAGCTAGTAAGAAATAACCACTTATCCTTGCCATATCAAAAGATATAGATATCATCATTTCTATCTTTTGATAACTAATTTTACTTAACGCGCAGCCAGCTGATAACCATCAATCACCAATATAACTCCAAATCAAACGCATGAGAGGGATAAAGACTTATACTAGCTTAGCTATAGTACTCAATGGGATCATATATATCACAGTACTGATGGTCCGTTGAGAGATGAGATGAACAAAAAAAGCACTCGCTTTTCTCGCTCTATTGAGTTGATCAGAGTACTGCGTAGTACTCGTGTGTTGCTTCTGCTGATGACTTGATCGCAGCAGAAGCAGCAACAGTGACCAAGGTAACATTAAATGCCATGGCGATTGAAAGAAGCAGCAATAGTGTCGGGAATCTTTCTTTGCTTTCTTTGCCGTGTGAGAGGAAGCATTATTTATTACTATTTAATTTGCTTCTCTCTCTCTCTCTCTCTCTCTCTCTCTCTCTCTCTCTCTCTCTCTCCCTCTTGAGCTTCTCTGGATTGCGTTTGGCTCCCGAAACGAGCGGGCGCCGGGTGAGAAGTTTTTGTGGGCAGTTGGACGTTGGATATGAGAGACCCCTTAGAGGGATCAGCTAGCCTTTAGGCCTACAAAGTGGGAACATACACCTATGCTAAAATTTGACTCGTGCAATTGCACGTGCTGTAAAAACATTTTATTTTTGCGTCAGTAAATATATATGAAGATAATTTGATTTTTTTTTTTAATAGAGAGAGTGCATTTAACTCTGTAAAGCTATAAAATCCTCCATTGATTTTCTTTATGCATTAGTATAAATAAATCATGTGAAGAAAACATTCAATTAAGTGGACTCCTTTTTCTTATGACATTGAATGATATAGAATATTCTAGAAGTAAAAAAGAAAACAAAAGAGAAACTACTATTTATTGTAAAATGACATTTTGCCATTTTAGCTGCAATTGAAAAGGACTTGTCCACTACTCATTCAATTTTGCACTACTCTTAGTTGGTTTTTTATATAGTAGTGTGTGTATTCAAACTTGGGCCTTCGCAATTTATGATTTAAGGCGTTTTTATTTTCAATGTTCTGGTAATATGTAATATTACTTTTTTGAAGTGGAGGAGGAGGATCTAAATCCTTTGTTTTTGTCCAACCAGTATCGTGCACTGTGTTATTTTGTTTTCCTTCATACATATCAAAACTATATACTGTGATGAGACCGAACTTTGCATCAACATGCATCTTAAAACTGAACCACAATCAAGCGCACATGGGCTAGTCAGGCTATGGTCCTTAATTTCAATGGGCTAGTCAGGCTAGTAGTCTCATTGCTCTTCTTAATTATTATTATTATTATTATTTCCCCTTTTTTGAGAAAGAAAGAACTTCAATGAGTTCAATCCATCCGTAAGGAGGCTTAAATAAGCTTTTCAATATTGTCAATGACACCCATGAAGAATAAAGAGATGAAGCCACTTTATTATTTTCCATTTAAAGAAAGGTATCTTCATATTGTTAATAGGAAATGGCCTCTCTCGTACGCACTACATACAATTAGGAAACGTATAATGAAGTCATCATGTGCTTGGGGCTCGGATCCTCTGGACCATGCAAAACACTCAGCACAAGCATACGACCAATATGGGTCAGCAAAATAGTTGCACCCTTGCCTGTTATAGCCCCGTTGACTCGTATACAATTCTTATTGGAACATTTTCATTAGGATTAGTTGTTTTGATTAGAATACAGTTAAAATTCTCAAATTGACTCTTACAATCCTATCAACGATTAAGAACACCCTCTATAAAAATGAGATGTTCTAAATTACAAAAAGATGGCTAAAATCTCTAAACTAACTGAATGTAAGTATTCTGATAAAATTTGTACTCCATCCACTCATATGTGGACATGCATGGCTCTGTGCTGCATAACGTCCATCACGATGGACCGTATACCGCATGGTCCACGGGATCCACGCACCGTAGCAGCATAGTTTACACATTAACCAATATTAGGAGCATTAGTTGTGCTTGTGCAGGATGAGGCAGCAGGATAAGAGTATTCAAAGAGAGAGAGGGGGGGCTAAAGGGAACGTACGTGTGTTTCTCCTTCATCCTGGCTTACAAGTTACAACAACACTTAGAGCATCTCCAACAGCTTTTCTAAAATTTTCTCCAAAATAGAGAAGCAAAAGTTATATTCTCCAAATTATTTTTACACCAACTGCAACAGCTTCCATATTTTGAAGAATCTCTTTTTTCCTCCAAAAATTTGGAGAATGCTGCAGATTTAGGGAAGCTTCCCTATTTTTTCTCCTCCATCCCTATTTTGGGGAATGAGATGGGGAATCTGTTGGACCAAAAACCTAACTATATTCTCCAAAAGTGAGAAATGAGGAAGCTGTTGGAGATGCTCTTATAACAACATTCAATCAAATCACAGGATCCACCTCTCCTCAACATAATTAATACACCAACATGCTTAGCCCCCTACGTTATAAATGAGCCCCACGTGTGACGTTCTCATCCAAAAATTAGACCTCAAATTAATTTAATCAATCAATTAGTTTAATTTTCTCCTGCTGCAGGCTGCATGCATTCAGAGGCTAGATGAACAAGCTTCCAAAGTTCAATTTGGTAATTTGCTATTTTATGGGCAGGGTTAACTGAGGATCGATACATTTTGGACTGGGTGATATTGGCTTATATCGTCCAAACTTTTTTTTATTAGTGCTTATACTCTCTTGATCGTAGGCAATGTAGCATTTCGCCTTCATGAAATTTAGTGTTTTTGGAGTTAAATTGAGGACAAAAGGTAATTTATCATTATACGTGATTCTCGATCATATAATATCTCAATTTAATCCGAAAAATAATATAAACTAGATGTTGTATATACCTCGAAAAAAGAAGTTTGGAGATATATGCAGGGGCTATCCTCTCAGAGTATTTAAAAAATTGTGTGTTATCTGCAATGAACTTTTTTTGACTGCTCTGATCATGCATGAAATGGCGTTGGCACTGAAAATATGGAAAATGAGGATGTGGGCTGTTGTTTGTTCAGTCATATATACAAGTAACTGATTGTCTCTAATGCTACGCATCAAGTCTTTCATCAGTCTTAGTTTGACCTGATAAATTTAATTAACCGTAACTTTGTTCTTACCAGAGAGACAGACAGAGAGAGAGAGAGAGAGAGAGCGCTTGTGATGAGTCATAGTGATAATGAAGAAAATGAAAGGATGGGATGAGCACGTTCAGGGCGTAAAGTGCTAGTAACATTCATTTCCCTATGAAATTGAGGAAGATTGGTTGGGGCGTTAAAAAACTATCAATTCAATTCTAGCATTGATTATTTACAAAACAGGTTGGACAATTTTCTTTTTAAAATTACAGTCATGTTTGTGCATGTTAGATCAAGAGCGGATTTAAAAATAAGATTTGATTTCTATTAGATCTATATATATATGAATTCTTAATGACCAAACCGAGTAATTATAAACCCAGTAATTATCTACATAGACACTAGTTTACGAATAAATCTCATGCTTTCAGAATGTAAGATTGCTCTTGTTTAACCTGTAAATGGATCCTCCTTGACGAAACCGAGTAATTCTAAACCCACTAATTATTCTATTAGATCTGTATGTGTATTCTTAATGACTAAATGAGTAATTCTAAACCCGCTAATTATCTATATAGACACTAGTTTATGAATAAATCTCATGCTTTCAGAATTTAGCATTTATAAGTATGCTCTTGTATAACCTGTCCCATATTTCTATTAAAAAATTAAACCAATACATGTTCATACAACTTGACAACTATATTTGATTAAATAAAATAAAATAAAAACCTGGCATAGTTCGAGAAAATTATTTGTTCCGACGGTACATAACCCAAATTTGAATCCAACAAATTGAGAGGTTTGGATCCTTGCGTCCCAAATTTCTAATTAGGGTTCACAACCGCTTGCGTGTATCTACATAATTATAAATGGAATATGGAAAAACAACACATCTAAATTGTAGATTCCAATCAATTTTCCTCGATGGATTAACAATTATACGAAATAATATGCTGCCAAAAATTGGATAACTATGCTAAGCTAGAAAGGTTTAGTAGACAAGAATTCCAGGAATCGTCCACTGCATTCAACTAAATTGTTGAGCATCCATATCCTCAGGGATTCGAAATATTGAAAATTTAAAATAAATTTATCAGAGATCAATGGCTCCGATTTACATTCACAAGTAAGCCAGATTAGGTCTAATGAACACTACTTGGACCCGTATGTCCACAGAATTTGCTCCCACATATTAGAGAATACAGACGCACAATGACCTCTGTTTTATCTTTACACTTTATTGCTCGGGCATTGAGACATAATCATAAAATATTTCTCGTCTGTTTCACTTTTGTATTACACTGGTAAAGTAGCACAAAAATTTTACTGATACACAAATTCTTTACGTATACCTAAACTGATACAAAATTTTCTTTGTAATCAAATAATTAATATGGAAGCAAATAGAATATAGCTATAGATAGCAGGCGTACAACTGTTCACGAAATTTCTCCGTGATCAAATAGTTAATGCCAAAATAAAATAGCATTATACCTATAGATGCATGCTTACAACTGATATTTCACAAAATCATCATATATCGACCGTTGTATTGATCCAGTGGCTTATTTCTTTGAGGAAGCAAAAAGCAGTTAACCAAAATTCCTGTCTGAGCTCTAATCCTTTGGCTTATTTCTCATCATCTTCCGTTTAGTTACATCAAGATATCTCTTTCGTAACCTAATAGCATTTGGGGTAACCTGTAAAGGACATAAAAACATTGGTTACAACAAATAGTTACTGAATATAAACATAAAAGAAAACATAAGAACTTGAAGTAGTCTTACCTCAATGAGCTCGTCAGAAGCAACATATCCAATTGCCTCTTCTAGTGTCATCTGCAGAAAGTATATTATACCAAGAGTTCCAAGATGAGTGCCCATTTCCCAAACTATATATTACATTTTATAGTTAAATAGCAACATAACAGCAACTAATAACAGTATAGAATAAGCAGCGATAAAATGTAGAATTGTATTAACCATGTCTTTACATAAAAGGCTTTTCATAACATATTTTTAATGCATTGCATTCAAGAAAATTTCAGTTTACAAAAAATGTGTAATTAAGTTCTATAAAAAAGTGTAATTAAGATAAGAGAATAATTACAAGAGAAATAAGCACTAAGCATATCTGAATCTACCATTGTTACGTAAAGACATTCTATAATGATACCAGATACTTCGTGTGTGTGCGTGTGTGTGTTTCATAACGATGTTCACGTGAAGGGATCATGTCAGAAACAGATCTCTCCACTGCTAAATCATTTCATCAAAGTTATAAAAAAGAGCCTATTAACTAAACTAAGCTCTATGAGAAGTTGTGTATGGTAAATGTAAGGAAAAATAGTTCTTGTAAGATATGATAGTGAAAACAAATACATATTATGTTGGCAAAGAAAGTCAAGCTACTGATTTGCGCTTAAAGTTAGGAGATGGTCCATAAGGGGTAACACAAAAAAGTAAAAGTTATGGTACCAAAAAGGTTTGCATATAATTATATTTGCACGAGCAAAAGGAAGTAATCGTAAACATGCACAATGATAGACTAAGTACAATGATAGACAAGTTGTACTTTGATTTACATAACATAAGCAATACAAAAGGGCATTTGGAAATAACATTCATAATTAGGATGGTGACAATCCTAGCTCAATCCAGCTGATTGGTATCCCGCTCAGGTCAATTTCAAGCCCTACCACTGTTCTAGTAAGTTCCAAATAATGCAGTAATGCCTCCAGCAAATGATACAAACTCACCATCTTCTGAGTAATTTGATATCTAGACTTGGTTATTGCTTGATCCTCAAAATTAAATAAGTTAAACAATAAACCGACATTATAATCCATTAAGCTTGAGTAAGCTTCAATTTCCACCCTATAAGATTCAAACTGCCATAGAACACAAAAATCTTTGAAAGCTTTCAAAACATTATTGGCTGGTCTACCTCTAAATTACAGGTCTCTATAGAAGTAATTGACTGGCAGTCATTGATACCGTTAAGATAAAAATGTTATGAAAAAGAAAACATAGTGTACTCTAGAAAGGTGGAAGGGAAAAATACATGACGCGCATGAAACATGTCTTCATTGAGACATGTAAAGCGTATTTAGAGAACATACCAAGCGAGGTGGGGTCAAGCGCACATTTTCATCTTTACCAGGAGCACGGATGTTTGTTAACTCTTTACTCCGAACAGGATTTACCTATTGTTGAAAATTCCAAAATCAATTGAAAACAAAAGAAGGCTACACAAATAAAGGAATAGTGCTCAAGTACACAGAATATTCTTACATCAAGATCTTGGTCGCGTGAGTTTTCGCCAATTATCATACCATCATATGTCTTCATTGAGAAAAAGACAAAAGTATCTAATTTTCTGATGTTACACACATAGAAGAAAATTGAAAACATAGGTCACACAGGTACAGTAACTAACCTCCATTCCAGGTTCCACAAAGAGAGTTCCACGAGATTGCAAATTCATGAGTGCATGGGCAGTAATGAGACCACGGCTTACTGATATCTGCTCGCAAAGGATAAAGAAATACAGGCAGTTTTGGGATAAATAAATCAATTGATTGAAGGTCTAACGTGAGATTAACAATCAAACTCTACATGAAAATAAATGTACATTAAGAAGTCTGGTTACAACAATAATGGTTACTAGTTACTCCTATTAAGTCTGAAAAAATACCTCATCTGCTTAGAGGATAGGGAATACCCTTAGTTGATTAGATAGGTACTAAAATAGTAAAAGATCAGTTATCCTACTCACCTAACCAAAAATGAGCGCTTGAAAGAAGAAATTGAGATGCTCTTCACATTAAATCAACCCCCAAAAATTAAATAAATAAACTATATTCTTCTATTATAAAAGAGCACTCTTAAACTTTGTTATTTCCTAGAAATCCTCTAAGTTCTACTTACTTTTTTCAAGAGAGCGCTGCTACAGCGACACAAAATATGGGACCATTTGAGGGGACATGTGAGATGTCCCCCTCCTATTGCATAATGAGCTGGCATGGCATGACCAGCTCATTATGCAATAGGAGGGGGACATCTCACATGTCCCCTCCATTGGTCCCATATTTTGGGTCCTTAAGGCATTTTTCTTTTCAAGAATACATCTCCCAATTAATTATAGCAAATATACGGACATGTTGTCACGTTATTGACACCATAATTCATGTCTTCCTTTGTGTATGATTTGGCAAGAAAACAAAAACATGGAGGATGGCCATGACTGTGTAACTACATTAACAAGAAAACTTTTGGAACCAATACTTGTATTCTAGGCTACCCGGCCACCTCATCTTTCCATATTTGTGTCCAACACTTCCCCCTGTCCTTGTCCATGTTGGACACTCCTTGAACACTTCTTGATTATATACATACATTTATGTAGACCTATGCCTAAATAGACAATACATATTTTAGTCTAAAACACCCGTGATACACTTCTTGGTCGTACATCTTACATTGCACCTCAAATTTCTTCAACTCATCGGACTTGGATCAGGTTTTCATGATCATATGTATAATTTTAAGTCATTTGGATACCAAGTCCAAAAACGAGTAGCTTTTCAATTTATAATCTACTCAATAAAAGAAACATAAAAATGTTATATGGATTTTCTTTCACATAACATGTAATAAAAAAATGAGTATACTTGGTACCAAGCACAAACTTTGTGTTTGATATTGAGGTGGCTCATTCTCATCCACTCATCTTAAAAAGGACCACATTTATATGGTTTGAATAATTAAATGGTGAACATTTTCAAGTGGAAGGAAATGAGTCACCTCACTAATAAGCACAAAGTTCTTGTTTGGTACGAAGCATATCCATTTTTCTCAATATGAGAATAATGGGTATGTTTGGTATTAAGCACCAAAAATGGTGCTTAGTAGTGATGTGGTCACTTATCAACCACTCGTTTAATAAGCGGGTTATCAATTGGAGACCATTTTCAAATGGGTATCTTTAAATGAGTGGATGAGATGCATCCACATCACTACTAAACACCAATTTTATGCTTGGTACCAAATGTGTGCGTGCGTGCACATATGTAATATACACACAATACACACACAACTCTCTTTCTCTACTATATATATATAGTAGAGTAAAGAGAGATAGTGAGCAAGAGTGTTGTGTCCATGTATCCTACATTTTTCAAGTTTGTCATGTCCCGAATCTGCACCCACACCATGCAACATAGCTTGTATTTTATTTTTGTGCTTTATCGCAAAATTGTTTTTTTAAATCACATGAAGCAGCCTCCATGAAAGTTCGAAACACAGAAAGGAGACATAAAAGTATGATGGAATCTCCATGTATAACTTCAATATTTTGCTTGATTTTCTACCGCAAGAAGTTCAAAGTGCAGGAGAAAAAGCATAAAAGTAAAGGATATAACCTCCAGTTATAAATTTAACGTTTCGTTTTCTTTTTTAATAACACAGAACAGCAAGAGTTAAAGAAAGCAGATTCACAAGGAATTGCAACATTATACTTACCAACACCCCTTTCCTTACATTTCCAAGGGCTCCTTTATATTTTGAGTATGCTGAAAAGCAGTAGAAATTCAAATTCAATCTTCATCATATCAATCAAATGATATCTCTAAAGTGAAAAAATAGCATATATAAGATGTTGACTGCTCAATAAATGACTATAATAAGCATTGGGCAACCTTTGGGTTACGAATATGCTTTTACTTAACAAGCCAGTAACAGAAACTTAACACATAAAGTCATGTGAGCAGTATGAAAATGAATAATATTGATAGGTATCAAGTAAGAACAATTTTTATTTGTTAATGGATTTTGTTTCCCTCCATATTTGACGGAAAAATTTTCAAAATTCAAATGGTAAATGATCAGGCATTTCTAAAAAGTCCGTAAGAAGTTTACCAAGCTGATCTCAATCATGAGATGTATGTCATTATAATTTGTAAATGCTTCAAGATTGAAAAGGCTAAACAAAGCTAAGCAAGGTCCTACTTCTCCAAGCTCAGCAAGGAAAGTTCTTCAATGTGACTCATAGGCACTATAATCACAGAAAAATACATATGAAATAACATTTATAATTATTGCATATTGATCCTCATTGTATATATTTAGCGAGAATGTCCTCGGACTTGCTTATTAGTAGGGTAGTTTATTTCAAATAACAAAGGCAAGTTCTTTCACCTTTGCTCATTTCCAATGAGATTTTATTAGGGCATTTTCCAATAACACCAGGATTCATTTTTTAAAGATTAGTCCAAAGCTTTGTCGACCAACTAATAATAAATTTCACTCTGGCTCTCACCAAAGCGGCAAAGCTAGTATGAAATTCCTACACAAAGGTTCGTTTTGTCAAAACGTAAACAATTGAACAATGCTCGAGTTCGTTGGAAAAAATTTCAAGCTAAGTATCAAAAAGTAGTATACTACAGTTTTGAGCAACATCATGTACTTCGTCTAATGCATGTGTTTCAAGTAGATAAAAATGGATCCATTTGCAACTATCCAAACAAGTTGGACATCGATGGCATACATGTCATTCCAAATGGATGGATCTCCAAATCATTAGGGGAGAGAGAGAGATGTCTAATATATAATAGTTCTTATTAATAAGGAAACTCCTTTTCGTGACTCTTTTCTAGCCAGCACTGATCTAGAGAACTAAAATAAATTGCTTTTAGCCAAACTTCAAAACCTATCTATAAATTGGCGGGTAAAGGAATAAGTCCATTAAGCAAAAAAAATATGAAATAGCAATTTATCCATGAAAACATATTTAGAGAACCATGGTTTCTTTCTTATCAGTAAGACAGTAACAACACCAACGACTAGATTATAAAATAAAATATTTACACGAAAGCATGATGCACTAATCAAATTATAAACATGGAAAATACTAATTATTGAATGTACCTAAGAAAGCACGATGCATAAATCCAGTTCCGCGTGTGACGCTGCTAAAAACACTTCTGTAGCCAACTAAACCCCTACACATAAATCCAATACCTTGCCTTAGAGAAGTTCACTAATACAGATGAAAAATTTCAGTGCCGATCATGTTAAAATAATAAAAGTAATTATAAAGCATTGGCAAGTGAAAGCATTGACATCGTTACGATTAATCAACTCCACTAAATTAAAGTCAATTTGAACTGAATGTAACCTGACACTGATCAACGACTACATAAGTTTCAAAGGAAACTGTGTAACATTTTTCCTCAGTAGTCCTAAGTATTAAATATATTGAGAGAAATGTACGAGCACAACAACTCTTCTCATTGAAATACATAGAAATGATTAAATGTATATACGGCAACGTTATGTATATGCTTTCTAGAAACTGATATTCCAATATTTAACTACAAAAGAGGAAATAACATCTTACTACTTCATAAGACTGGAACTGGACGTAAGAGTATATTATAATAACCAACCTAGAGGGACAGGTCAGTGACATCCTAGTCCTGCCAGTACTCCCAGGAACATGACCCATGTCAACAAGTTCCCCTTTCCTATGTGAAAGTGCTTCCATCACGAGGCCCACATGCTCTTCATTCACCTGCAAAAATTTATTTATTACGAGTAAATATCCTAGAATATAAATTTCAGAGGTCAGGCAAACTAAAACATGTCAATACCTCAATGGTCACTTCTTCTATAGGCTCAAGCTTTTCTCCATTCTCTGTTTTATACCTGTACATGATAAGATATGACATCAGATATAGGCATACGAAAAGGCTAGATATAAAGTCAAGTAGTGTACCGTAAATAATAAAATACAAGCATGAAAACATGAACATTAAATAGCAATGAATTATAGTAGTGACTAGTGAGGATGCTAGAAATTAAGAAATGATCATATGCATATGTAAGATCAAGTGAATGAAGAAATACTTCAGAAAATGCCTCCGCAAATCCACATATATGCATATAGTTATTAAGTGCATTTTTCAGACAAAGTGCAACATTAGAATGATGGCAATAGTTCCACTGAAATTCTCTGAAAGGATGAATCAGCTAAAGCTCCAAACTGTAGTCACTATAGAGTTTAGATATATCCCAACCTGAGTTCCACAACATTGATGTGATAGGGATGAGAATGAAAATTTTCTTTAGCTAAATATGCAAGGCTACATAGACAAGCATTTAAGCATAAATATAGACAATATATTTACTTGTATAACAAAGAAGTGAGAAGTATTAAAGAATCATTATATATTTAAAGAAAAGGATTCAGTGAGTTCAGTTATAATATTTGAAATTTTCAATGAAACATCTAGCAACACTGACGTTTATGATGGTATTATAGTATGAAATGAGGCAGCATGGCAGCTTAAGATGTCAAGAATGAGACTAAAATTAGCATCTCTGTGTTCATTCAAACTATTAATAGCAAATATCTAAAGGATTAAAATGAATGGAAGTTCAGTCTTAAGAAGGTTATTAATTTTAACTCATATGAAATTAATGAATTAGCTGTCACTTGACTAGTTGTAAGTTGTCATTTACTCAAAATGAAAGCAAGAATCGAGAAAACTGTACCAAACAGCACAATGAATAATGAATATTGTTATTTGGGCATTTACCATAATCTTTGATCCTTGATATGGCAAAGACATCAAAAGCTACAATAAGAAATCCATAAAGAATCCAAAGGACTCTGATGTATGAATTCAATTTGGATACAAAAGAAGGTGTATCAAACATGCAACCATCGTCACAGAACTCTCACACTGTAGATAGTGAGCATGGACAAAGAGTCCATCGGGCAGACTTTGACTATTGTATCTAGATGTGCCTATTACATTAAACATGATGATTTTCTAAACCGCATCAATGGTAAATCTAGTAGTTTGTTAACATTTCAGTTCAAGCTACTGATTTCCTTTAAATTATTAAAAACAATAAGAAGGTCTATGAGCCTCAATGAGTTGTTTTATGTATAAGAAAGCTAACGATTTGAATTTATTAAACATGCCAAAAAAAATTTGTTTATTTCATGACAGAAAGAGAGGAAGAGACCACAAAATTAGGTTTTATAAAACCACATCTTTATAATAAAAGAGAAGAGAAAAGGTCACACAAGTAGCAACTAAGATATGCACATTTATATTTTTCATGCCAGATCTTTAAGCAAGTCAATATTTGTACAAACAATTGGGTTGCTTTTACAAGGACAGATTAAGAATGAAATAATTTTTATGTAAGTTAATCCTGGAATTAGATGCTGCCATGCAACGTTTTAAGCAATGAGTCAGAGACCCACTCTGCTACCTACCAAACACCAATGCATGGTAGAGAAGAATAAACCAAAACTGAAAATAACAATAATGTATAACATAACTTTTGCTCTCTTGATGGCTTAAAGTGCATGTAAACATAACGCATAAAACATGTTTGGTTAATTTTTACTTAAAAAATATCAATATTGGTTTTATTAAACAGGAACATGATTTCCAAATATAAAATTTATTTACACACCTCAATCATAATTTCACCTTCATGCTTCACAAGCATAAGTTCAAAATCACAAGGATAATGATTAATGAATCAATGAAGTCACCAAATGTCATAACAAAGATGAAACAAGACATTAAAACTTGACTAAGAATTCATAAGTAATACTCAACTACATCATGTCTTAGGCAAAGGGAACAAACTCCCAAGGCTCTACTACAAGTTATATTAAAATTTCATATATTATACTGAAATAACGTAAGTTACATTGACATAACGTACATTATAGTGAAATAGTGTACACTATATTGAAATAGTGTAGCATTACGACATATCCTGGTGATTTGATAATATTGCGTAACGTTTTAAGATTTGTAACAATAAGTCAACGCGAAATAATCAATTACACAACGCATTTTCCACATTTTATTTTCATTAATCCTACAAACAAGAAAAAGGCACAAATATTAAGATGATATGTTCAGAAGGGCTAAAGGAGTTGATCCCAAGCAGATCTACTACAACAAGATGTCAAAAACAACCCAATTAAAGCTAATAATAATTTAAGAAATAACTAAATGCATAGAAGAGTAACTGCGTGGATAAGCTAAAGAACTCACATAACTCTAGGGGGCGAAACAGACAATTCAAACTTTTCGCGTCTCATGTTCTCGATTAAGATACCTGTGAACTCCGTGAATAAGTTATCCCAAGATAAATTAATTATTAAACACTAGCAAAATGAAAATTCATTTATGTAACAGCCTAACATGTTGCGAAAAAGACCTAGACAAACTTGAAAACATATCAAACAACACAGAATGGACTGAAGAAATCAAAACCAAACATACCCAACTGAAGCTCGCCCCTCCCTTGAACTTCATATGAGTCTGATAATACTCCAGGAAGAACATTTATAGCAAGATTGGTTTCCGCTTCTGCCATCAAGCGGTCTCTAATTTTCCCTGCAGTCAACTGTATAACAAGAATACTTAGCACAGAAGAAACTCGATACTAAAGAAAATGTTGTACATAGAAGAAAAATTGAAGGCTGAATTCAATCAGAGCAGAAAATACAAATAATCTATCACATGAAAATTATGTCACAATCTATAACCTTCACAGGAAACTGCTAACAGGAAAGCTCTGTGGAGAACGTAAAACAAGGCGAAAAAGACAAATCTTTACTTGAAAGGTGAAGCTGTATGGTTTTAAGCGACAGAACTACTACAACAACAAAGCCTTTATCCCAAAATTTTGGTGTCAGGTACATGAATCCCAATCTCCCATTCAGTTTTAAGCAACAGACCACTCAGAAAAAATATAATATTTTCCATTGGTTACATGTAGTGGTTGATCTATACCAGTAATCGCTGCTTATAAAATTCTTGAAAGAAACAACACGCATTGCAGTTTATACAACTCTCATTCAGTTCTACATGAATCTCAATCTCCCATTCAGTTTTAAGCAACAAAACTCTCAGAAAAAATAGGGGAAAAGGCCAATTTGGTCTCTGTACTAAGGCTTCATACTCAAATTGGTCCATGCATTTTATTTTTTCTCAACGTAGTCCTCGTACCCCTTGTTTGGTGCAAAGGTTAGTCCTTTTTTAACATCCATTAAAAATTATGTTAAATATATGAAAGGACAATATTACCTAATCCTAAAAATAGGATATAAATTCAATAATTAATTTTACTTCTTATTCCTTAAAAACTCTTTTTTTAATATCTAAAAAAAAGATTCAATAAAAATACCTCAAAACAGCAAGTTAATTAGAAAGACCCAAAAGACCGATTAAATGGAAGGACCCGACTGAAGCGTGACCCATAATTTATTTTCTGCTCTAAATGTCATCTCCACACTGCAAATTTCGAAAAAGTCAGTTCATTTTAAACTAAATAAAAACTCTCATCTTCTGAAAACATATTGTCTCAATCTGGAACATAAACTCTATATCTTTTATTTAAAAGTGCTCACCATATGCAGAGCCACATCTGAACATGTCTTCACTCTGAAATTCCTTTTCACATTAGAAACCCACAATAAGTTTACTTTTCTTCCATTGTATAAATCATATTCCCAACTCCGCTGAAGGGTACCAGTTTATTAACAGTGTTATAGAATCCACAGCAGCAATTTCTAAGGGTTTATGAATTCTCCAGTTTCCATATTAAATCCTCTGCTATATTAGCATCACAACTATACTTGAAGAAACCTATATTTTTTAGACAGAAACTTGGTGAGGGTCTAATGTGAAATATACATGATAAAGATTTTGAATATACATGTTCATAAAAAAGAAGTATAAATTAAAAGTATAAGGACTTCTATTCCCAATACTTAACGAATGTTAGAAGGATTAAGTTTATATCTAAACATGGGGTACAACTAAATTGAGAAAAAAATAAATTGGGAGGCCAATTTGAGTATATTCAAATTCTTGAAAGAAAAAAATAAAGATTGCAGTTCATACAACTCTCATTTTGTGAGAGAACAAATTGAAATTATACTTGAACAGTTCGGCATGTGATTCTTAAATAAGAAGTATCAACAATATGAAAAACTTGTTATATTTGTATATCACATAACAGTTAGAGAAGTTTTCAAATGGAGAATGTAAAAGGATGGACTTAGACCTTCCCCTAACAGTATTGCAAAGGCTCAACAACCTTTATACTGAAACAAAGACCATTCAGATGACTCATGCAATAATGAGGTTGTGCACCCAAGACGTCCCACTAAGAATACTAGAATTTGGGGTAGAAATATTGGAGGGAAATCGAAAGAGAAAAATCAGAAAAAATATATATACATAAAAATAAGTTTCTTAAAGAGATGTGGATACCCAGATATGATGAAAACTTTGCAAGAAAGAAATACCAACTATATTTGTCCAGAAGCTGCCACTTACATGAATACCATCATTACCAGCCAACGGAGAGTCATTGACACCAAAAGTCATGGAAATTGTTGGAGGATCTAAGTCAACTGTAGGCAATGCGGTCATGACCTAAAATGTTGTGATTGTTAGTAAAGGGATAAATGAATACATATAAAACATACACTAGATTAATGTGAAGAATTTAGGTTAATGATTAAATAAAGGAACTAAACAAAGAACTTATGGTAGAAACTCAACAATAAATCAAATATTTAAAATCAAACCCTGCAACATATATTGGTTATATACCATGTAATTCCAGGAAGGGGCTAGTAGGGGCTAGGTATTTTTATTAAAAAAGAATGAAAAGAAAATTATTACAAAACAAATCAACAAGAAAAGAAGTGGAAACAGATTCAAAGAAGTTATTCATAACATAGAAGATAATATAAGTAACTGCACTAGAATATATCTTACAACAACCAACAAGAAAAGAAGTGGAAACAGACTCAAAGACTACACACAACAGTTTACCATAAAAAGAAATATACCAAATACAAGAATGGATGTAAAATCTTATTACAAAACAAACTCCTGATCCGCTAATCAAGAAAAAAATAAGCACTTAAAACATGATTGATGTTGTCATTCTCAGGCAAATTTAACTACTAATTTGATAGGCCACTAACTAATAGTTTCAAAAATCTCAGACAAAATCAGAGAAGTGTTTTACAATGAAGAATGTGCTTAGTATGAAGACAATGTATATAAGCATCTGTAAGAATGTACTTGCATAAGAGAAAGGCAGCTTCATTCTTAAGGGTGCAAAAGGTAGCAACGGATGCCTTTTCATATGTCTAAGAAAAGCATATTCAACCTAGGATGAGTATTACACTGATCTATTGATTAAGTTGAGAGAAGCAAAATAACTTGCCTATGATTAGTGTTCTTCAACCGGCCAATCAAATTTGCAAACTCACATCTGATGCACTCTTAGACTAACATTTTTTTGGTGATTTAAGTCTTAGATTGTTCTGCAAGTGTGTGCCTACTTCAAGCTTAGGTTGCTTTGGTATGCAATTCTGGCAGCCACCACCTGTTTATCATGTTTATACAAGCTAAGTAGCTAACTAGTTAATATACTAAAAATATGCTTGCAAGACAACTTAAACTAATGATTGAAGCCCAGATATAATTTGGATATTGTACACATGAGAGCCAACTAAAACATACTCTTGATATCTCAAATCCTTGCTTTGGCAGCTCACCAGTGTGACTGAGCCCTGTTTCTGTCGTTTCTCACCTTGTTAGCCACCTAGCCTATCTGCACTTTCTTCCACCTCCAGGATACCTTCTTCCTAACATTATTTCTTACATTGCCTGTGTCCTACATCAGACCCTAGTACTGCTAACACTGCTGCAAAAGCAAATCTAAATTCTTAACTAGAAAAGCTACCGGGTGGAGAATATGTTGAAGACTGAACTTCTTAACCCACCATTTCGCTAAATAGATCACAAACACCATCTTGCAAAACCCAGTTAATAGTGACTACGATTGCTGCTTTTTATCCTATCCTGCCACCCAACATGCCTTTTGTTTCATAAACTTGTTAAACTTTGAGACATTTAAAATTTTCATTTATTCATGTCAGTACAGGAGATCCACCCACAAAGAATGACCCTACTAGTTTGTATCACAAATTTAGTACGAAAGACATAAGACTGCAACATACTGAAAGGTGAGAAAACCATAAAAGGTGACTCATTTTGTACATTACAGAATCTAGTGGAAAAGTATTGAGCATCTGGTCTCAACTGTAAGGGTCAAAGCCAACTCCAGCCTCATTCTATAGGTAAGAATAAGATTATAACTCTGAAGGGCCCATGACAAGAATAAATTAAATAAAGTAACTCCATATAATAGGGATAAAAAATGAGATGCGGTAAGAAAAGGCCTGCTATGAAATACATAATATTAGGCATTAAAAGTTAACAAAATGATAAGATCATCAATATACCTTTTACTGTGTTATTCTTTGTTGTGTTTATTGTCACAACTTTAGAATTTAGGAACAATCTGGCAAGATTCACACTTAGGAATTTGGGAAACATGAAGTTTCAGAAAATATTTGGGAACAGTTGTCAGGAAATAAAATAAATTCAAACAGTAAGTAGATTTTTTACGATATTATTCAATTTATAAGATGTGATACAACAGAGCTTAAGCATATCGGTAAAAGGAAAAACATAAAGTAATTAGATGGCGAGGACCCAAATTCAGAATAAAATATTGAGAACTTCTCGAGTGCAGAAATACTAAAACAATGCAATAACGATATTGCCATATCCATGTACTCAAATTATTAGTAGGACAATTCATTTGTCAATGTCCTCAGTATATTTGAGAATTCATGAAAAAAGGCAAATGTTGTTACGATATACAGTACTTACTGTCAGCACAAGTACACATTCTTATGGTACATGATTCCAAAATAAATACACAGCAAAACCCTTGCATCACTATCAACTTAATGATGTCAGTGGCATCCTCTATTCTGGATATTAGTGTTAAAGGACCCTAATCTATGCAGTAACTTCAAGCAACAAACCCATTATCTCAAGTTTTTTGGGACTGTATATTAATCATGTATAATCATTCAGCAGTATTAAACTGCTTCCACTGCTAAGTTATCATCCTTTTAGTTTATGAGTCAGCAAAAATAAAATAGTATAATATATAATGATATCTGTAACAAAGTCATGATAATTTGTAAGCCCTTTTTTTCCTTAGTCCACATTAATGATTGCAGTTAAATGGAGAACTTGCTATTTGAATCCAACATAGCATAAGTCAAAAAATTAAATCAAAAGTTCATGTTAGATAACTGAGCTAAGAGACCCAAAAAGAATAGTAGTTGAAATTCACCTTAACATCAACGCCACTACAAGAGATATGATGTCAATATTCCCAAAAAGAGATATATAATGTCAGAAACCCTGCCCCCACCACGACCCGCTTAAGAGGGGAAATTAAAAACAGTATCTTGTGCAGAAGCATAATTTCAAGAGGTGTTACATAAATGTTACGCGTATGAAGTAGACAAATAGGTAACATAATTAGAAGGAAGACCAGAAGAGCGATCATAGAACAAAATGCAAGAAAAGATACACAAGGATAAGACACATAAGAAGTACCTACATTGACATTTGCCACTGTGTGACCAATAGATGGACTCATCAATCCAGCCATTGAGATTATATCACCAGCTCCTGCAGTGTCAATTGTGATCATGCTTGTGCCCTTCTTTTTCATAAGCTTTGTTATCTGCATAATCAGTCATGAGAGTAGTGCCATTTGAAACACGATCGTAAAAAAAATACACATTGTAACAGCTAGAAACACAAGGTCAACATACCCTTCCTTCTTCAATTTTTTCAACTCCATTATCTGTGCAGCGAAGACCATGTATTCTATCACCAACGTTAACAATTCCTGAAGAAACACGTCCAGTCAATATTCTTCCAAGATAAAAATCTTTCTCCATCATAGACACCTGCAGAAGTCTAGTAAGTTAGGCTCTCAAAGGAATACAGGAAAAATGATATGCAAATTCAACAATAAGAAGCAAGCGAATTAATATATAAACTAATGGATAAAATTATATCAATATTTGTATATTATTAGTACTAAGATATAAGTAGAAATTATGGAATATTGTTGAGAAATTGTGAAATCTGATTAGATATGATTTTATCTCATGCATATTTTGTAATACCCTTCTAATCTCTATTTAAAAGATGTTAGATTTAGATGAATTATAACTTAGCCTCTTCTATGTCTACATGGTATCAGAACCTAGCCTACTCAATCCTAAAAAACTTGTCCTATCTTTCTAGATCTCGAGGCCATCGCGAGGGTTTTGCATGGCCATCATGCTCTCCTTGACCAAGGTTTTAAATGTCGGTCGACCGACATGTCGGTTTGAGGGCTTGAGCGACACGACATGGGCGTTTTCTACTCATATGTCAGTTCTCAGGATCAAATCAGAAATATCGAGGCCATATCGTGCATATCGGCCAATTTTTTAGCTTTGAAAAATCGGCCGATATGGCCCTTTTTTTAAGATTTATTTTTTTGTTATCGGGTTTGGGTTTAGTAATAAAAACTCAAACCCGTTTGATCTGTTCTCATGTTTAAGGGTTTCTTATGAACCCGATAGAAAGAAAAGAGAAAAATTAGGACTGCAGCGGACTTGGGAACCAATCACTGCCAGCCTCCCCTCTTTGTTCTCGTCCCGTCGCCGGCACTGCCTCCCTGTGACGTCAGAATCCACCCATCGCCGGCGTCGCCTCTTCCTCTCCCTCTTTCATGCGACAATGGCAGCCAAACTTCAAGCTCTCCCTGGCGTCCGGTAAGCCTCCTTCATTCTATATCTCTCTCTGAGTTTGTCTTGTAATTTCAGATTGTGGCTGCAGCGGACTGATTTTTTCCCCCTCTTCCAGTTTCAGCTTGTGACTTTGTGCTGAGCAAAAGGAGTAGTTGTTGATTTATTTTTCTTGTTTGTTGTCTCTCAAAATTAGGTAAGTCTCCCTCTTGAATATTTTCTCTGTGAAATAAAACTGATTTTAAGTTAGTAATTGAATTATAAAATTGAAATGTAATAAATTCAAATGCTAATGCATGGGAGATGCTTAACAGTTAACACTTCTTAATGTCAGTTGCCTCTCGTGAATTCGTACCAAGTTGCTGAAATTAAATTGAAATTAGAAAATCCTAAGCAATTGAGAACTGAAATTATCACCCCTTGTACACTTTCTAAGCAATTGATTACTTTTTAGTGTGAAGACAACACTCTCCACTGCACTATACACTTTCTAAGCATTTGGTTGGCCTATCATTATGTTTAAATTTTGTATCAAATCAAATTATCAATTACTGTTAAATCAATTATTGTTTGAAGATTCATAATTTTAATAAGCTTTGAATAATGGACTTGGTAGTTGGTATTTCAATAAGCTTTGAATAATGCATAATTATTTAATTTGTCATTTTAATTAGCTTTGAATAATGCATAATTATTTAATTTATCAATTTAAATATGCAATTGATTTAAATATGTAAATATAATTAGTTGTCTAAATCCATATTTGTTGTCTTGTTAATTATTGTAGAATCATGACATGCGAAGGACAAGGATCTACTAGACCGTCAACACCAAAAATGGGTGGTAAAGATCC